GTACTCAGTTTCCCTTTTTTTTTTTTGAGTTGGAGTCTTACTCTATCGCCCAGACTGGAGTGCAGTGGCCGCTCCTGGCCATCGCAGCCTCGACCTGCCGGGCTCTGGCGATCCTTCCGCCTCAGCCTTCCGAGTAGCCGGAATTACAGGCATGCGCTACCACACCTGGCTGATTTTTTGATTTATTGTAGAGATGAGGTCTCGCTGCCCAGGTGGGTCTCGAACCCGTGGGCTCAGACAATCCACTCACCTCAGCCTCCCAAAGTGCTGGAATTACAGGCTGAGCCACCGAGCCTGGCTCTCAGTTTCCCTTTTAATGATAGATGATAAATCTATTCTGTATTTGTTAGCATTAGGAAAAGAATTCTAGGCTTGATTTTTAAAAATTGAAAAGAGAAATAAGTAGGTGGGATACAAAGTTCCCATGAGGTTCAGATGTCTACAGATGAAACGGCTAGAAACAGCTTCTACCACAGCTTTCTTAGACTTTATTATGAAAGTTGTAGTAAATTAAAGAAGATAGCTGTATTGCCAAAGAAATGACTGGTAGTGTGTTCTCAGTGACTAGGATACCTTTCCTAGGTACGTGAAAATGAACAAACATTAGGAGAAGCTAGCTGTTTATTATATAGGTTCTGGAAGCTTATTGAGAGGTGGGTTTGTATATGAAGAGGACATTGCAGGACATCATAAGGTGAGAAGTATGACCACTATTCTCACAGTTGTAGGAGGAGGGAAGAACACTTTGTTCTTTTCTCAAGAACAAAAGAAAAGGTTACTTCAAGGAGTAAGGAGAGAGGCAGCTTGTAACAGAACAAAGGTTGGACAGACATGATTTGACTTTTGAACTAGCTTTACCCCAAATTGCGTTGTTAAAGTTTTGAAGTTTTAATTAACAATCGCCTGAACTACTTAGCATTCTAACTGCATTTGAGACCACAGATCGTTTCTTCAGTGTTTTCTCAAGTCCTTAAGACATTTAATTCTCCCTCTTGACTTCCTCTTCATCTTAGAGACTGCAATTTCCTTTGTAGGAACAGCTTCCTGCTGGGTGCTGCTCTCTTTGGCCACTTCTGTCTTGGGTGCCTGTGTTTTTATCTAAAGCCATAAGTGTATTGCAACACTAGCCGTTTCATCATCATGTGAATTGAGAAAGTCTAGCAGGAAATCTCAAGTTGACTGTCCTTAACATAAGCCTCATGTTTCTTGATTGCATTGTCATGATAGGCAGTTGATGTTCTGAATGGCAGTTATGAAGAGGACACTTGGTAGAAAGGACTTCTTTTCTGGAAATGTATTGAAGAGTCTAATCATCTGAGGAACACAGTGTATTTAGTAAGAAAATATTTGCACCTCAATATACAATGGATCTTGTGGCCATTTCCCCTATGGTTGTATTAAGTTCATTACTTTTCTTTTTTTTTTTTGAGTTGGAGTTTCACTCTGTCATCCAGGCTGGAGTGCAGTGGCACGCTTATGGCCACCCCAGCGTCAATCTGCTGGACTCCGGCGATCCTTCCGCCTCAGCCTTCCGAGTGGCTGCAACTACAGATGTGTGCGCTACCAAGCCTGGCTAAGTTTTTGATTTATTGTAGAGATGAGGTCTCGCCAAGTTGCCCTGGCATTTCTCAAACCCGTGGACTCTGGCAGTCTCCTTACCTTGGCCTCCCAAAGTGCTGGGATTACAGGCTTGAGCCACCACGCCAGGCCAAATTCATTGATTTTCAACAGTGACTTTCTTGGTTTGTCTGTTTATATTTATATGTTTTAAGGGATCTTCACCTCCACTGTAGGAGAACCTTTTTCTTTAACAAAATGAAAATAATTTCTTTTTTTCTTTCTTTTTCTTTGCTTTCTTTCTTTTCATCTTCCGTTCACTCCCATTTTCTGCACTGCAAGTCTCTTGTGGACTGTTACTCTCATCTTTTCTGTACAGGATCTGATTTCATGATTTATCTTCTGAAAAGATGGGTCAGCAGTGATTAACCTATGGAATGAATAATGTCTATGAATTTGGTTGTGGTCTCTGGAGGACCTTTTCCTGTGAGTGACATCTAATGTAGAAAGAAATATGTCTGCTGTTCTCACAAGGCAGAAGGAACCTCTTTAGTTTCCTTCTCTATCAACTGCAGAAGTGGTGCAAAGTTGATTTCCCCTTTATTGCTATTCAAATAGAACACAACACATAAGGGAAAGGTATATTGTGGAAAAAAAGTTTTTTTCTGCTATTGTTGTTTAGGAGTCAGATATACAGAAATGTTCAGAAAGTGATGTTGTCAAGATTTATTTATTTTATATTGTTTGACATAGTAAATTTCTCTATTCCAGTTTGTATTCTTGGACTCATACATATAAAAACCAAGTCAGGTTTTCAAGGAGCTCACAGTCTTAAAGGAGGGACAGACATATGTGTAAATAGTTGTGGTACACAGAAATTAAATAACAGAAGTGGTATAATATGTGGTGGTGATCAGCCCTGTGTGGGTTTTGAAAGACCCCATGGTAGACGATGCTAGAGCATTTGCAGCGAAATACTAATGGCAGAACCTTGGTGGATGCTATAAATTGAACTCACAATAAATGCTGGAGTGGGAGAAAGGCTTCGCAGTTGAAGAATGTTTAAGTGAAGCCCTCAACGCTGAGTAGGAGTTTGCCATGTGGGCATGAAAGAGGAAGGGCATTCTAGATAAAAGAAATCGTATGTAAAAATATGAAAACAAAAACTTTCTGGGGGAAACTTAAGTAATTTGGTATAGGAGAGTTAGGCTTTCTTATGGAAGTGCAGCAGGAAATGAGATTAGAGAATTAAGATCATGAGGGCCTTGAATGCCAAACTATTTGCTTTTTATTTATGCTTACAAAAGATAGGGAGAGTTCTTTTTCTGTATTAAAAAAAAGATATGGGGACCCTTTCGGGCCCCCTCCCACTGTGGGAGCTTTTCTGTCCTCTCAGTAAACCCTGCTTTCAAAAAAATAAAAAAGATCTATTAACTGGCCACTGAATATGAATATTAAACAAAAACCCAACTTTTTGTGACCGCACTTTCCCTGCAGCTCCTCCTCATTCCCCTGGTCTTGTTAAAGCAAAGCCCTCCAGTTGTTGTCTAGGTCTCTGCCTTCCCTGTTTTCTCCTCTTCCATCCCCTCTTGCCGGCAGTCCTGCTTCTGCCTCTGTTCTCAATGATGCCAGTCACTCAGGGCTAACACTAGATAAAATCCAAAGGCGCATAGCCGGGTGTGGTAGCGCGCGCCTGCAGTTCCGGCTCCTTGAAAGACTGAGGCCTTGGAAGGATCGCCGGAGCCCATCAGGTTGAGGCTGCGGTGGCCGGGAGTGGCCACTGCACTCCAGTCTGGGCGATGGAGTGAGACTCCAACTCAAAAAAAAAAAAAAAAAAGTCCAAAAGCAGATTCTCCGACCTCATCCTAAATGCACACTGGGACTGCAGATCACTTGCTCCTCTTTGGACACTGCAAGCGGAGATTTTTTTATTTTTAAAGGGAAGGGAATGAAAGCCAATAAAATGTAGCTGCTGCTTCATGAAACTGTTGTTTCAATTATATGTTGTCTGTCTTGCCAGATGAAATGTGTGTTGTGATCCAAAGAAGTCTGAAACAAATGGAAAACACTGATGTAGATCACAGGGGTTGTGAGCATAGACACACAGACTCACTTGGCCCTGTTGGAGCCTGTTGATCACTGACTCTGTGTCTGGAGAAAATTATTTAACCTCTTCGAGTGTCAGCTTCTTTCTTAGTTCAGGCTGTTGTCACGAAATACTGTAGACTGAGTGACTTCTAAACAGCAGGACTTTCTCAGTTCTAGAGGCTAGAAATCAGATACCAGGATGCCAGCATGGTCTGGTTCTGGTGAGGGCCCTTTTCTGAGTCACATGCTGCTGATTGCTCATGTCCTCACATGGTGGAAAGAGAACGGGCTAATTCTCTGAACTCTTCTTATAAGGGCACTAATCTCATTCATTAGCGCTCCACCCTTATGACCTGATGACCTCTGAAAAACTCCACCTCAAAATATCATCACATTGGGGATTACATTTCGACATGTAAATTTTATGGGGACACATATATTCAGTCCCTAATCATTTCCTGTTCTGTAAAATGGGTGTAATTCCTGTGTCAATGGGGTTGTAGCAAGGATCAAAAGAGATCACGAAAATAAAGTCTCACAGTCAGTTACTTCAGAAAATAATGAGGAGAATTCATAAAAAGACGGCTAGGTTCTACCCGTTAAGACAGATCGTCTCCTTCGAGCTTTCTGGGATGCATTCATCACCTCATAGCCTAGCTGCTCATGTTGTTTGTTCCCTGTCTCTGCCATGCTGGCCACATCACAGCTCTGTAGCTGTGGTTTAGAGAGCTCTTTATTCCTCATTTCTCTGCTCCTCCTGTTGTCTTTGCCTCGAGCGTTCTCCTCTTCCCAACCTCTCCCCAGCCTGTGAAACCACCACTCCTCTTAAAGTCTCCTCTTCTGAGCAGACTTCCCCATCCAGCTCTGTGCCCGGTAATGCGTGCTCATGCCCCACATTGCTTGTAGCTCCGATGACCCTTTATGTTGCTGCTGTGCTTGCTTTTTGGTTCCTTTTTCTATGTTGCGAGCTTCTTGAAGTCAAGAAAACTGTCTTATTTGTCTTTTGTTCCTAGCCTGGACTAATGCCTGGCTTACAGTAAGCATGTTATTTGTGTTTCATGAGGGAGTAATGATAGCAAGGCTTACTGTTTGCATAGCCAGTGCTGAGCATTCAGATTAAGTGAGACAAATAAGACAATCTCTGTCCTTCAGAACCTTATAGTGCTTTTCATACTCTTTCATATAATCCTCATGATGACTTTAGGGTAATAGGTTTTTTTTTTTTTTTTTTTAATAGTTGGAAACAGTGAGGCTCAGAGAAGTTAAAAAACTTGTTAAGATTACATCGCTGGTAGAACACAATGCCTAAAATGATGAACAGGGGTTAAACTAGTCATGAAGGAAATTAAAAGGCCATGAAGAAAATGAAAAGGAAGAGAAAGGTAAGGGGGCTAGGATTAGAATTAAGAGTCTTCAAGATCTTATTCTTTAATTACTTTGGGAAAGTAGAGGTAAACATGAGAATATTTAGCTCACTGCTGTGGAATGTATTCCTGAAATGACATTCTAAAATGATTAAAAATCCAAGTTCATCAGAAAAGTAATATTTCAAATAGTGCAGCTACTTTTAAAAATGATGATTTCGACTTCTTTTAATTGAAAAGCTTAATTTTTAAAAGAAAACCACATTTAATAAAAATTCCATAGACTAATTTCTCAAGTTGCTAATTTGTATTTCAAAAGAAGTAGAGTCTATCATTGTATTATTACTTACTTACTTAGGGTATATTAAGCATTTCTGATCCCCAGCAAAGTTTTACCTATGGTGTGGAGAAAACTGGGCATATGATTGGTATATATTTATTAGTAATTAGCCTGACATTTGGCAATTTGAAGGAAACATGCATTCAAAGCATTTGCAACTTCAAGGTATAACTTGTGGCAGTAAGTCTAGGTGAAACATTTTCTTTTTAAGAAAAAAGCCAGTGCCTTTTGTTATGTGGGCATGGAATATGTGCTCTTGCCGTACCGATTCAGTGATCTTTCAGTCGATTCAGAGTCTGCTGTTTTCATTGATTTGCTAGTCAAGGGGCTTTTAGTGGTAGGCCCAAATCACTAATGTTTAAAATTTCTGTAAAACTCACATTAATATTTGATTGGGATGAAGTGTATTCTGGCTTAAAATCAATTTTTTAAAACTCCAAATTAAAAAGACAAATCAAATGTGAAAGATAATGATCTTTAGTTATTAAGAAATATCAGGGGCAACCACCTCAGGTCCCTACCCACTGTGGGATCTTTTCTGTCCTCTCAATAAATCCTGCTTTCTAAAGGGGGAGGAAAAAAAAAAAAAAGAAATATCAGAAGTAAATTGTGGTAAGTGGTAAGTGCTTACCCCTGAGATTTACTTTTTGGTGTGCTGTTGTCAACCTTTATAATCATGTGCTACTGTTTTGTTCTTTTAATGATGTTCTTGACCAATTGGTATATGCTCTTTTAGGTTAATTTGCTTTACTCATTCTAGATAGGTAATGGTTTATACTGAGCCATCTTTTTTCTCTAGTCCATCTGGGAAATTTAAAAAATGGTATTAGGAACAGATGTGGTAAAAATCAATGAAAAGGGATTTAAGGGATTTTAGAAGAATATAAAATAGATAAACCTGACATTTTTCTAGAAGTTAAAATAGCATAATATAAATCAGTTCCATTTAAACCTTGTTTACTCTAAGTATATTCTTAGCTGTTCATTTAAACTTTTGAAATAAAAACTGTATCTAGTTAAAAAACAACAGAACTTTGTTACCTAGAAATAGCAATAAAAATATAAATTGGACTTAATTGTTGTGCCTTTCATATGCAGTTTTGAAGTCTAAATATCTGTCTAGATTGACTTTTGTTTTCCTTCTTTTTTTTCTGTCTGTCAAGAAAAATGGAATATTTTCCTGTTTGTCTCCATCCAGGGCAGCTTTTGTTTGGGGATGGGGTAATTTTAGATGCTGCCTTCCTTCATTTTTAACTGAGTTTTAGTCTTCTGATTTTTTCTGGACAACTTGGCTTTCAGCTATGCCTAATTTAATCAGTCTTCTGTTTCAAGAAATGCCATTTGAAAACAGGCAGCATTTAATTATGACAAGTGAGGCCACAGAGATTTGTAACCAAGATTGGCAGGCAGTTTTCAAGTCACGTGATTTTCTTGTTTTGCTTTGTTTAGTTGGAAGTTGTATTTATTATTATTATAATTATTATTAATTTTTGGTAAGGTAGAGAAAGAGTTAATATCTACTAGGAAAACAGAAAACCCAAATTGTTTTCTAAAGTAGGGCCTTCAAAGAAATAGGTCTAATTGTTCCTTATTCTTAAACTATTAGAAACTTCTTGTTTTGTTTAGTTTCTTTTAAGATAATTGTCATTAAATAATTAAGTTGTGGATAATGAAGAAAGGAATTTGAATAGATTTGAGACTCTTGCAAGTGTTTTTAAGAACCGAACACAACAGAAAAGCTTTTTCAATTTGACTTAATTCAAAGTTCTGCATTCCCTCAATGCTTAAGATTTATGTTGATGTTCCCAGAAAGTTTGTATCAGTCCCAGGACATCTATCATCTTACATGACCTTAAGAAAGAGTTTTTTTCTTCCAAGGGAAGACAGTCATTTCAGAATTTTCTTTCACTAAGCCTTTTTAGGAGCTTTGATTATGTTAGACATACTGTGAGGCCTTCTTTGAGCAACACAAGAATCCAGTTACTGGGCAAATTAAATGTTTTGAACTTTTTTATTTTAAGAACCAGTTGAAGGAAATATATGGTGGATTAGAGAGTAACAAGGTTATTTATTGCTGGCTGGCTTTTAAGATGGAGGAGACCATGTGGCAAGTAGTGTGAGCAGCCGTAGGAGCGAAGAGCAACCCTGCTTACAGCTAGCAGTGAAGCAGGGACCCCAGTCTGCAAGGCACTGAATCCTGCCACAACCACGTAGAAGAGAATCTCCTGCTCCAGGTGACAAAGCAGCCTAGCTATGGCCTTGGTTTAACCTTGGGAGGCCCTGGGTGGAGAGCTCACTCGTGCCATGCCTGGCCTTCTGTTTGCAGATAAAACCTGAAAACAACTGTGAGCTCTCAAGTGGGTGTTGTTTTAAGCCACTGAGTTTGTGGTAACTTGTTGTGAAGCACTAGAAAACCAATATAGGGGAACCTCAACCAGTCTGAAATATCCCGGTGCCAGTGGCAGAGTTTTCCACTTAGGTTTTCTCACCACATTTGGTGTTGTACCAAGTGAGTGCCAATATATAGTAAGCTGAATTTTAAAATTCATTGATATTTCTAACACAGGTGATTTGAATTTTATTATAGCATGTTAAGGTATATTAAGTGATGAGGAAAAAAAATCTTTGGTTTATCCTTTGGCTTAAAAAAAATTTTTTTTTTGGAGTTATAGTCTCACTTCATTGCCCAGGCTGGAGTGCAGTGGCACGCTCATGGCCACCCCAGTGTTGAACCACTGGGTTCTGGCGATGCTTCTGCCCCAGCTTTCCAAGTAGCTGGAACTACAAGTGCACGCTACCATGCCTGGCTAAAAAAAAATTTTTTAAACCTAGAAAAGAAATCAAGAAAAATCATTTTTATGGAAGCCCAATTGTTCTGGATCAGGGTTAGCAAACTATCACTTGTAGGCCAAATCTGACCTACTGCTTAGCTTTGCAAATAAAGTTTTATTGGAACCTAGCCACACTCATTAGTTTATGTGTTATCTATGGCTGCTCTCACATTATAGTGGCAGAGTTGGGTATTAGTGACAGACACCATATGGCCCACTATATTTACATTACAATCCTTTATAAAAAAAATTTGCAGACCCCTGTTTTAAATGGTGATTTGCTTCCTAGCCATATTCATTTAACCTTAAATGACTTCCTCAAATGGGAACTGATTTTTTTTTCTAAGTCCTGAGCGTAAGTTTTTTTTTTGTGTGTGTGTATTCATTCATACCTGCTTATCAGGATTATATAGACTGGTATTATATCTCACTCTATTGAAATGATAGGAAATGTGTAAAAAATTAATAAAATCCCATGAACTTTACTTGTCTGGGGTCCCCAAGATCATCACCAAGTTCAGTGATTTGCTAGAAGGAATAATAGGATTCAGAAGATACATTCATGTCTGTGGTTGGTTACAGCAAAGGAAGCAAATGGAAAAGGTGTACCAGGAACAGACTGAGGAGACCAGGCACAAACTTCTAGGATCTTCTCTGGGGAGGTTGTGTAGGACACACTTAGTTCCTTTACAAGGAATTACTACAGTACATGTAAAGTGTTGGCTGTCAGGAAAGCTCACTTGGTTCTAACAGTTCAGGGTTTTTCTTTGGGTTCAGTTGTGTAGGGACACAGTGCCTGTGATTGACCACAGCTCCTGAAACTCCAGTCCTCAGAAGGAAAGCAGCTTCACCATAAATTGCATTGTTTGTACAGACTGTGTAGACAACGTAGTACAGTGTGGTCAAGACTCCAAGCATGCCAAACGTTTTTATCAGAATATTCCAAGAACTTAATTCCCAAGTGGCTGGTCAAGGGCCAGGCATAAGAATAGGCCTTCATGGTTGGAGTGACTTAGCCTGCTGAATTAATACTTTCCTAACCTCTCCATAGTGAGAATTTTGGTGTCATATTACAGGAGTGCCAAAAGAATGTATACATGTTTTAAATATGACATTCACTCAAAAGATGGCGTTAGTCAAATGAATGCTAGTGTCACCATGTGACAGGCCGGGCAAAGAAAATGGCATAAGCAAGGTTGGTTAAATATCATACTACACACTGTTGCTGTAATTTAATTCAATTTCAAAAAGTAATACATAGATAACATCTCTTAAAATGTGTATACATTTTTTGGCACACCCCTCCCCCGTATTTCAGAAACACACAATGTTTCGCTAGTTATAATTACATTTCAGAGTGTCTCTCCTTTTAGCGACTTGATTATATTTAGTCAGTGTTCTTATTGTGTAAGAAACACCTATATGACTTCATAAATCAAGCTCAGGATAACTTTAGGTGTTTAAAGTTGCATCAGGGAAAACAATGTTTTGTTTGAATTCACAACTTAGACCAAGTGTCTTCCTAAGAACAGGGTTTCCATGACTACCTTTGCCATTTCTAGTTTGTGTAGGGACTGAGAATGTCTAGTACCTTTTTTCATACTTCATGTTCTTGCATGACTATCAAAGAGTAATCATTTTCAGAGATGACTTATATCCATAATATTGTTTTAGCTCATTGTGGCCAGTAAAATTCCCAACAGTATATTAAACATTATCTTTTGCTATTATAAGCATTGTGAAACATTGTGCCCTTTAAATTCTTTAATATTAAAGCCCTTAGTTGTATCATCTTTATTCATTATTTATTTGGTTATTTTTGAGACAGGGTTTCACTCTTGTCCAGGCTGGAGTACAGTGGCACGATCACAGTTCACTGCAGCCTCAAACTCCTGGACTCAAGTGACCTCCTGCCTCAGCTTCCAGGGTAGCTAGGACATATCACCTTTATTAAATACCATGGTTATGGGAAAATACATAGAACAGATTTGTTTTTTAGAGATCATTTATTTTGCCTTTCCTCATATTTGTACCTAAATATATAACATACACACACACAGTTTTTTTTTTAAAACCCTACTTTGGTTGCCGTTATTTTCTAGACAGAGCCTGCTATAGTTTGGGTAAGATGCTATGTGGATAGTGGGGGTTCCTGAGATTATTCTCTTAACTTGTTCTGTGACTCTGGGACAACTACACATAAATCACTTAATCTTCTGTTTCCGTTTACCTTATTTGCTGCCTTTTACCTAAAAGTAATCTCATGAGGATTATTTTGATAAGGTTTGATTATTTCAAAAAAGCACTGTCAGTACACATATGATATGATGAGATGCCACTTGCTGGAAGTCCGGCTGGGGCCTTTGGGGCTAGCCTTGGATCTGGGAGGAAACCCTGGGTCTCTGAAATAATTGCTGTTAGATTTGCTTTACAGTTGAATATTTCGGGCTCTTAGTGGCTCAACTTAATTATGAACAAGTAGCCAGATGTAAGTCTACAAAGAGCAGAATATATATTTTATTAACTTTTATAAAAAGTCTTCTTGATGTCCCACATTGAACCTTGCTGTTTCCTGGCCCCTAAACTCAAGGCAGACAAAGAGGGGCTTGTTACTTTGGCCCCCAGAAAGGCTGTGAGGGCCTACTTGGGACACTAGGAATGGGGCCAGCTGACAGCCTGGAGAGGGAAGGGAAGCCCAGGCGGCAGGCAGAGCTGCACTAACCCAAAACCCCAAATAATGGGCCTCCACAGGAGTAGCTGTGAGCTGTCAGAGATTATTCACTTGTATTCATTGTGTAATATCTGAGAAGTAAAAGTATGAGAAATGGTGGAAACGTCACTTACTAGAGATTTCCCTTAAAAAGATTAAAATACAAGTTTTTAGAAGATTTTGTTCCTTGGTATGCTCAGTGATATGTGTACGATTGTCTCTGGCCTCTGAGGTCCTGGCACATGTTTTCTGCAGTGATGCAAAGACAGAAAAGCACCCCGTTCCCCAAAGAAAACGGTGCACACTTAGGGCATTTTGATGCAAACTGTGAGGTCACCTGTACGGCCATCTTCTGTGTTTCAAAACCTGCTCAGTGAGAGTCGGCCTTGAACTTTCTGCAGTGGTACCTTCTGACCCAGGCTGGTCTGGTGGAGGCTAAACGTGTATGTATAGACTCCTCTTTAGAGCTCACAGCATTCACAAGCATATTAAAGGCTCCTGAGAAGTCTTACTGTAAAAGATCTATTTAACTGTATTCTGCTGAGTTTTTTCAAGCTGATGGGATTGTGGCGCTCACTGTCCCCTTACTGTTGCCGCCACTCCTGGTAAAGCTCTGTGGGGGAGCACCCCCATGGCCCACATTGCAGGGCTGTCCACTGGTGGTCACTGCTTTTGCTTTTATTGCCTTTTTTTTAAGGGTGCTTACCTGGTTGTATGCCTCTAAAGCCTTCTACCTTCTTAGCCCTCCTCTCTCAGTTTCTTCCATTTTCCCCCTCCCAGTCCTCTATTATGTAGGATTTTAATTCTTTGCCTTGAATAAAAACAAAGCCTGGCTTATAAGCAGAAGCATAACCTGCACCTTGCCTTTGGTTTCATTTGCATAAGTGAACAAATTTATTTTTAAAACATGCAGTCATGTTTGTTTCTGTCTTAATTTTGAAGCCCAGGTCTTGAGTGTAGGTCCGAATTGGATGATCCCTCAGCCTCCACCAGACCAACCTAGGTCTGTCAGAAGGTACCATTGCAGAACGTTCAAGGCCGACTCTCACTGAGCAGGTTTTGAAACACAGAAGATGGCCATACAGGTCACCTCACAGTTTGCATCAAAATGCCCTAAGTGTGCACTGTTTTCTTTGGGGAATGGGGTGCTTTTCTGTCTTTGCATCACTGCAGAAAACATGTGCCAGGACCTCAGAGGCGAGGACCTCAGAGGCCAGGGAAGGTATAGCAGCCGCTCCACTGCCTAGCCATGGGCACCGGCGGACTTTTTCCAACTCCCAGCTACTGCTCGATAAACTTTGAATGACCCAGCAGCTTCCTTCCTTGAGCATTGTAATCCCCCCCCCTCTTTTTTCTCCTCAGAGTGGACACCTAGGCCACCAAGATGAGGTAGAGTGGTGCTTTTGTAAACCCATGTTGTTCCTCTTGAGTGCTTTTGTTCTCACTGGGTTGCAGCTTGATGATGTTGGAAATGTATTTGGCTTGAGGAAGGGGAGCCAAGTGGTTTTCAGAGGTGGAACCATGAGTATAGCTTGTTAAACCTGTTTACCTCAGAAAGTGTTTTTCCCCCTTGAATGTGTAAGAAGAACGTATGACTTTTGTTTTCCCTCTTACTAGCTGGCTCTGATTTTCATGGATAAAGTTTCAGTCACAAAAAGCACACCAGGTAAACAGTGAAAGTATATCTCTTACCAGTATACAGACTTTCTATTGTCTGCAATTATGTTGCTTTATTGGTTTTTAAAAAATTATTATTATTATTTGCTTTATTGATCTTAATCCCAATAGAAAATAAAATTTTGTTAGCACCTGGGAGTTCAGTATACTCTTCATTTTGGGCTGTTTTGCTTTTCTTTTTCACACAGCCAGTGAAGTTCTTGACAAATAGCCAGAAAGCAGCCACATTAATCAAGGTATGTTTGTTATGACTCCACTAGGATACAAAGACCGCAAGGACTTCGGGTGTTTCCCTCACGATATCCATTGTACCCAGAATTATACCTGATGCATAAGAGGCACTCAGTTAAGTATTTGAATAAATAAATTCCATTTTAAAAGTGGGAGTGGAGGTGAAGGCATTTGATAACCAAACTTGCGAGCATAACAGCCACCAGTATTCTTTCATTCCCTTTAAGTTTTTTTTTTTTTTTTTTTTTTTGAGTTGGAGTCTCACTGTCGCCCAGACTGGAGTACATTGGCCGCTGCTGGCCACTGCAGCCTCGACCTGCTGGGCTCCGGCGATCCTTCCGCCTCAGCCTTCCAAGTAGCTGGAGTTATAGGTGTGCGCTACCACGCCTGGCTTATTTTTTGATTTATTGTAGAGATGAGGTCTCGCCTGCCTAGGCAGGTCTCGAACCCGCAGGCTCAGGCAATCCACTCACCTCAGCCTCCCAAAGGCGCGGGATTGCAGGCTGAGCCACCGAGCCCGGTTCCCTTTAAGTTTTAAGAGCAGTCTTGGTCTTGGCTATTTTACTTGCTACGGTATATATCTTCTGCAGCATTTTTGTTGTTGCCCTCACCATCTAACCTCCTTAAAAATAGTGGTTTGTATGGGATTTAAAAGCTTCTAAGCTTGTTCGTTGCTTACAGCGCTATTGACTGTTCTCATTTGTAGTGTGACTTTGAACAAGGGAGGCGAACCCAGGATAAGCAGGATGAAGTTAGCATAGTACTGCTCTAGGTGCTTTCAGAAGCTCCTACCGGGGCAGGCCTGGGCCTGGTCAGTAATTGAGTGGGAGGCCTCAGAGAGCAGAAGCAGTGCACAGCAGGATGTGGTGTGGGAAGCCCACCTGGCCTGCGAGTCAGGGCACAGCTGGCGTCTGCCTGTGCAGCGTGAAGCACATGAGGTGTCCTCACAGAACTGCCCCGTGGCACGCTTTTGCATGCTGGCTGAGACCAAAGACTTGAGGCTTTTGTTTGTGCATGAAATGTACGTCAAGTGAGAAGTTTTCTGTCTTATAATTGGTTATCTTGAGGAATAATTTTAGCTTAGTTATTATCCTTGCTTTGTTTTACCAGCTGGGTAGTATGTGACTACGAAAGTGTAATTTAAAAATAAAGAGTGAACATTTATTAGTGATATTCTACTGTTGTTCTTGGTGCGAACTTTCTGTAAATTTTAGGATTAAAAGCTTTGGTTTCTGAGTGTTAAGAGTAGTGTTTCATGTGAATAATTCTTTCGTTGATCATTGAGACGGCTTTACCATGGAAGCACTGCTTCATCTCGCAACTAGGCTCTAAGTTCTTGATTTTCTTAGCAGACACAATTTTTCACCTAGGAGGATTCAGCACATGTATATTTTCATACTTCAATTTATACAAGACTTGGTTTATAGAAATTGAGACACTGCAATTCAGGGACAGCCCTTCAAGTATTTAGGGCAATCACTTACAGGAATCTTTTCTGAACATTTTATGAAGAAACTTATAAATAGGATTACAGGAAATATCATTAGCTTAAAGAGTATTATTTGAATCTTGTTTAAAGCATTATGCTAATTTATTAAATTTTAAATGTAAAGTTTATGATAGTTAAGAGTGATATTGTCAAATATCCACCTTTTTAGAGAACTGTAAGATTTCAAGGGCTGGGCTCCGTGGCTCAGCCTGTAATCCCAGCACTTTGGGAGGCCGAGGTGAGTGGATTGCCTGAGCCCGCGGGTTCGAGACCCACCTGGGCAACTTGGCGAGACCTCATCTCTACAATAAATCAAAAATTAGCCGGATGTGGTAGCACGCGCCTGTAATTCCAGCTACTTGGAAGGCTGAGGCGGAAGGATCGCCGGAGGCCAGCGGTTGAGGCTGCGGTGGCCGGGAGCGGCCACTGCACTCTAGTCTGGGTGACAGAGTGAGATTCCAACTCAGAAAAAAAAAAAGATTTCAAACATTGTTTTGTCTAGTCAGCTCACATAAGTGTATCTGTGATCTTTCCATTTTACCCTCCCCCGTCTCAGTTGTGTATATTACCACAAAAAAACATGCTTCTGTCTTTTTTTTTTTTTTTTTTTTTGAGTAGGAGTCTTGCTCTGTTGCCCAGGCTGGAGTATAGTAGCATGCTTATGGCCACCCCAGCCGATCCTTCTGTCTCAGCCTTTCAAGTAACTGGAACTACAGGCGTACACTACCATGCCCAAGTAATTTTTTTCATTTTTATTATAGAGACAGGGTCTTGCCAAGTTGCCCAGGCTAGTCTTGAACCCCTGGGCTCAGGCAGTCCTCTCTCTTCCACCTCTCAAAGTACTGGGATTACAGGCTTGAACCACTGTGCCCGGCCTGTCTTGTTTTTTTTTTTTTTTTTTTTGAGACAGTGTCTCGATCTGTCACCCAAGCTGTAGTATAGTGGCACAATTATGGATCACTGCAACCTTGACTGCCTGGGCTCAAGCGATCCCCCTGATTCAGTTTCCTGAGAAGCTGGGACTATAGGCATGTGCCACCACACCTGGCTAATTTTTTTATGTATATTTTTTGTAGAGAATAGGGTCTCTCTATGTTGCTTAGGCTGGTTTCCAAGCCGTCCTCTCACGTCAGCCTCCCAAAATGGTGGGATTACAGGTATGTGCCATGACATCTGGCTATTTTTATTTATTTATTTAATTTTTTTGTAGAGATGAGATCTTGCTGTATTGCCCAGGCTGGTTTCAAACTCCTGGGCTCAAGCAATCCCTGTGCCTTGGCCTCCCAAATTGCTGGGATTATAGGCATGAGTCTCTGTGCCCTGCCTAAACTGGCAGATTGTAAGCACAGAAATAATGGGTCTTTTTCTTATCATCTTAACCGTTCAGTAGTATAGAATGCCAAAATAAAGAATCTTCAAAAGGAATGGGAGACATGGAGTCATTGTAACTGTTAGTGTGTGACTTGTGGGAGGCTGTCTATGATGAGAACGAAGCTCTGGAAATGCATCCTGACTTTCAGGGAGCCAAGGAATCAGGGTGCTGCCAGCATGCATCTTCGTCTGTGCCCTCCACAAGGGCGTCTACAGGCATCCTTTTTTCTGCATGGCTTTGGCCAAATAGTTGCTTTTCTAACCTTCTGCCAGGTGCCATGTGTATCTGTGCTGGTCCTGTGAGCATTTAAAACTGAGTGGTGGTCTTTCTCCTTTCTTTGCTCCTGAGTATGTTCTTTATTTCAGTTCGTAGCATGACTATCCTGAGTGGCATGAATTTTGACCTCTCAGTTGAACCCACTAACTCCTCCTCTGAAGTATTTTCGTTAGTACTATAACTGTTCTGGAATAATAGTTATTAAAATAATGGTTCGGAAATGATTCAGCACTTGCTGATGTACTGAATTACTTTCAGTACATTAAAATGCTGTATTAACTTAATTTGCCAAAGCGTTTCATCAGTGGGGCTGAGAATGGTAACAAGTCAGAATGCACAGATTTTACCACGGACCCAGATCAGACCACTGGTCTAAGACGTCACATTGAATGGGTGTGGGTGAATTTGCCCACATTTGCCATTATTCTAAGAAAGTAAATTTAGAGCATAGTCTCCACTGTGGATGGGGCTATGACTTTATCTTTATGTGCTCTTCCTTTCTACACACATATACACGTGTATACGTGTGCAGTTGTACACTTCCTTGTATTTAATTATGCGTTAGGAAATCACCATTTTTATAAATAAAACTATATTTATATTCTTTACATTTTATAACCAATAGAAAAGAGGCAGGGATTGCAATTTCAATCATTTGTATGGTTTTGGGGGTTTTTTTTGAGTCAGAATCTCACCCTTGTTGCCCAGGCTGAAATGCAGTGACACACTCATGGCCACCGCAGCCTCTACCTGCTGGGCTCCGGTAATCCTTCCGCCTCAGCCTTCCATGTAGCTGAAACTACAGGCACACGCTACCATGCCCGGCTAATTTTTTGATATATTGTAGAGACGAGCTCTTGCCAAGTTGCTCAGGCTGGTCTCGAACGCATGGTCTCAGGCAATCCACTAGCCTTGGCCTCCCAAAGTGCTGGGATTACAGGCTTCAGCCACTGCACCCAGCCTTGTGTTTATTTTTTTGACTGAAATTACAGAAATTCCAGGTAGTCTGTTTATCTTTTATGATGCAGTGTTTCAGTAAACTCAGTGTCCCTGAATAACACAAGATAGTATTAGTATAAAATGCTCATATTTAAAAATGACATTTAATTTTCCCAACTTATTGTTTTGGTAGGACATTTACTAAACTTAAAACCAGAAAGATAGAAATACTGGTACAAAAAGGACAACAGTTTATCAAGGATTTCATTTTTTCCCCCACGGAATTCTTATGACCATATTAGCAATAATTGGTTTGTTGAATGAACTAGTGATGAGAATTTTGCACTCATTTTTAAGCCCCAACCCCACGTAAAACAAGACCATTAGTATATCTGGTGAAATTATCCTAGAATCTTTGTTCTTATATGGTCGTTTACCTTTTCATTAGCTTTTGAGAAAAGCTCATAACTTTACTGATACTTCTGGTTTTCTATTTATTTTTAAGGTACTGAAGTAAAGCTTCTGTGTTACTTAAGACTAATGAAACAAGTCTAGCATTAAAAGTTGGATATTACCCAAATCACTGTTGCTTTCTTTCTTTCTTTTTTTTTTTTTAAAGCACTTCAGTATAATTTGTGCTACAACTGGTATCTGCAGGTTGTACTGCCCTAAGACCATGTTTAAAAACCTTTCTTTTCCCATTAGTGGCAAATATTTTAAAAATTAAGAGTTCGCTTAAAATTCCGGTTTCTTTACCTCCTTGTGAAATAACTCTGATAGTTATTGGGCAGACTATCCATGTTGTAGGAGGCAGTTTGCTCTGAACAGCAGCTGCCAGTGTGGATGGATTCTGGGCTTCGCTCACACCCCTGCTGTGCTCCTCTGACCTTTCATACCTCGCACTGCCTGGGGCTGGATGCCATGAACCC